CTGTTCCTTTTAAAGTCTTTCAGAAAATGATGTAAGTGTATCGAATCATATTGAATCGTATCGCTGAATATCGTGTATCGCATGGTGAGATTAGTGTATCGCTACAGCCCTAGTACTGGCCAAAGACAAAGACTCTTGCATCGAATTATAAATGACATTTTTTAATCCTTAAGTTGTCTCTTTCCTCTATAGACCAGGCTTTTGTGACGTTGGCTACCAATGACAACTATGCTCGGGGAGCCATGGTGTTGGGCAAGTGCCTCCGCAACCACAATACAACCAAGAAGCTGGTGGCACTCATTGGCCCACAAGTGTCAGAGCCTTGCCAGTAAGAAACCTTGCCTTCAACCAGTCATTCAACATTCAAACCTGTTAGCATTCTTGTCAAGTCTTGTTTTCCACCTGGATTGTTGAGCATTGTGAATCATTAGGTCCGTGCTAAAGAGAATCTTTGACGAGGTGAGGGTGGTGGACGTGCTGGACAGCGGCGACACGGCACACCTGGTCATGATGAAGAGGCCTGACCTGGGTGTCACCTTCACCAAACTCCACTGCTGGACTCTCACACATTACTCCAAATGTGTTTTCATGGACGCGGACACACTGGTGAGACCAACTGAGATTTTTTTCATCAGCCAGAAAGATTTAAGATGTTGTACGTGCGTAAACATGTTTGTCTATGTTTGTTCTTGCATCCTAGGTGCTTTCAAATATAGATGAGCTGTTTGACAGAGAAGAGTTGTCAGCTGCTCCCGACCCTGGCTGGCCTGACTGCTTCAATTCCGGTGTGTTTGTTTTTCGTCCTTCTATGGAGACTTATGGCAAACTGCTTCAGTATTGTACAGAACACGGCAGCTTTGATGGTAAGTCAAGATCACATTTTGATTCTTACGTTCTGTGATGAAATTAGAGAATATATTATGACCCCCAATAAATACACATTGATTTTTGTATGAAATAAGCAAAAACAAAATATAATGTTAATTAGTGAGCTTTAGGGCTGCTGATTTTTTTTTTTTTTTTTTGGGATTTTTACCTTAGAATGAGCTACGCTAGCTGTTTCGCCCAGTCTTTATTTCCAATGCTAAGCTAACCATCTACTCGCTGCAGCTTCATATTTACATATACTACATAAGAGTCTTAAAAATATTCTCATCCAACTCTCGACAAGAAAGTGAATACATATATTTTCGAAAATAAAACTTTAACTCAAACCCATTATCACTTATCCTATGAACTTATTTCTACATGTTGATATTAGATAAAATGTATTTGTGTCATAAAGTCGCCTCGTTGTCAAATACATTGCAAGAAAGGATTTGATATGTCTGCCAAACCAGAAACGGTTTACCACCACTGAGTTTTCTTGTCCGCAATCTTTTTTCAGTCAGGCTCAAACATTTAGGCTTTGACCAGCTCTGAGTAACATTGAGTTCTTGGTAACATGATGTTAACCAGAGCTTGTTTATCTTTTGCTCTAAGTAAGGGCTCTATCGAGCCTGGTGCCCGGACACAAGGCCCTCCTGTCACAGACCGTCTAGCTCTGCTGAGTTATTCTCAGGGGCTCGCTTGGGGTGGGGTGGAGGTTAAATTTGAGAGGCCCTGTTTTGCACAGGGCACCGGTTGACATTCAGCAACTCTTCTCCGTGAGGCGTACTGTAACCGAATTGTCGTTTTGGCTTCATATCAGGTTTACTGAACAGCTCAAATCAGCGGCTAAAAAGATCAGTGATCTGTACTTGCAAGTTAAGGAAAAGTTAGAACATTACATAAAACGGCTAAAATCCCAACACTTGAATCAGCCATTGCCATTTTTATTTTTTAAACCTTTTAAAGGGTATCCAGTAAACATTTTACTATGACAGAACATTCATTCATGGTGAGCTATTTGAATATCCTTTTAAACACTTGGGCCTGATAAAGTATCCTCAGTCACCTCAGTCGAGCCTCACATACCTTTTTAAATACGCTAGCTAAAAGCTTTTGTACAGTGCTGTGTTGTACAGCTTTCACCAATTAACACATATAAAACCAGAACCTGGGACTTGATAATTCACACATAATCACTGCATATTTTTGATATATTGTACATATGTTAATGGCTTACTGCTTTCTCTCATCTGATAGTGTCCTGCTTCTGTCAAACTTCTTTTTAACTGCGTTTTTTTATTATTATTTTTTTATTATTGTAAGAATCTTTTTTTTCTATCTTGAGATGATAAACTTTTCAGACGGACATCAAACATAAAATATAGAAACATTTTTGAAGAAATAGCCTAAATATGTATATAAATTGTGACCAAAATAGGTAATGAAAGACACATTTTACAATTGAAAATCAGTGCTCTCTGGTGGACAAACTTCAACACATCAAAATATCTTTGTCATTTCTTATAAGACAATACAATATATTATAAAAAAAAAAAATCTTATGGTTTACTGACTAGCTTTTTTTCAGAGCTTTCAACCACATATCACGGTCTTAATCACGAGACCGATGTTTCAAACTTAATTGAAGTGATGATAACTCAATGAAAACCAAGATCCCTCCATTCAGTGTTGAAGACCATAAGATGTGGTTAGAAGCCACAGACAAAGCTGTACGATTTTGTCAGAGTTGTATTTCCACAGTCTAGAATGAACTTACACACTCATGATATATCTGATAGGCGAAACTCTCACCTGCCTATATTCCAGTTGGGCTCTAATCAAACCCATTGTGTCCTTGGGGTGCTGTGACCTAAAAAATGCTACTAAACAAAGGAAACCGTTGTGGATTAAACAAAACTGGATGCAACTCATAGTAGGGCACGGACTGGCCGCAGCTTGTCCTTGTTAGTAGCAGTGAACCTTTTTTAACATTAAATGACAAGCTGTTTTCCCTTGTGATACTGTGAAAGAGTCCATCAATGAGAGTTAATTGGAAAAACCAATTAGTTTGCTTAATAGTGGCCAATTCTTTCAAGTGCCGACTCATTCTGGCTGTGTTTGCTGGCAAGAATGTTTCCATCACAATCACAACCACGGACAAAAGACATATTGTCTTATTTTTTTTCCAGGAAATACTCCTTTGTTACTGAAAATTCATGCAATTTTCAGTGTCTTTTACTTACACTCATATCCAATACTTCAATGTAATGCCAGCATCTGTATGCCTGATGGCATGCTAATGAATAAAGCTGTCTTATTTATAGCCACGAATGGTCTTTTCATGTGCACTGGGGCATGGGTTGAAGTTGCTTCGACCTTTAGCATTTCACTTCCACTCTACTGTAAGGAATACATGATATACACGTGCAGCTCTCTGCCAGTGATGGATGATATTGAAAAATAGCTGAGGGGAGACTGCAAGAAAATAATTTCTGTGGTTGAACCCAGAGGCTCTATCTCTTCATCTGTAGCTCCAGTGTTGTCTGCTGCCAAGACAAACTGGCAGGGTTAGATGCACATTCTTGCTGAGCTCTGCTCATCCCCTCAAAATGAAGATCCTCTGCCCCATATTAAGTTTTGAAATCCCCCGTGGAGGTTGTGGGTTCGGACAAACAGCAGCTATGTGTGTTATTTTAAACTGCAGCAGTCTGTGGTTTCACAGACTGTACGGTCTTGTGCTTTTTAAGAGCTATATGTGAAAAAGGCCAACATGTCACTTTGTGCCAGTGTCAGTCCAGTGACATACTATATGGCTTCTAGGTGGTGCAATTTAGCATGAACAGTCAATGAGATTGTGTCATGGTTGCTTGCCTTCAAAATTCTGTTATCCTGGCTGGTCAGTTGCAGATTTGATGATGTAACAGAGGAGATGTTCACATTAAAAAGGTTTTTAATAAAGGCTCAATTCAGATCTGGTTGTATACTTGAAGCTCAACTGACCCACTTAATGTCAAATGCATCCCTGTGCCCCAAACTGTCGTCTGAGTTTTATGTTTACGTAAGCCACCGCCATGACAATGCCCCAGTTCTAAATTAGCCAAATTAAGTGAGGGCAAGTGGCTGTCCAGAACCTCCAGTTGGGCCCCTAGGACCTGAGGCAGCTCAAGTCTAAACTTTTTAAAACGGGTTAACCCAGAGGGCAATGTTAATTCAAGTCACCAGCACTGAGAGACAAAACAGTTTAAATACTTGTGTCTACATGTATTATTTCAAGTTGAGTAGTCATGAACAGGGCTGGGATCTTTGAAAATGTTAAATTCAATTACATATACAATACCTGTATTCCTCCCCCCCCCTTTCAACAGTAGGTAAAATTACTTTTTAACTCATCCTGACAAACTCAGAGAATTATCACCCGACTCAATGGTTTTATTCAGTTCTGCGGAGTATTTTAGCATCTTTCAGTTTGTGTTACAGCACAGCAAGATGATGATTTCAGCAAGAAAACACTGATCTGTGTGCCACCTGCTCAGCACCACATGACAAAGTTGGTGACTGGCAGATAAACATATTGATGAATTTAGCTGTTACAGAGCGAATTGGAGTGGCTTGAAACACAGCTCCAGATGAATGAATGTTGCTCCATTCTACCGGATCCAGTCCTGGCAGGTGACACCACCACACCCACATTTTGAATACCTGTCTGGCAATGTCTGGGCAGGGAATGAGTATAGTATTGTTCTCAAAAGTTATTTTATAATTGAAATCCTTATGGAATACAAATATGTTTGCTCACTTTCCCACACTTCTTCTATACCTGTCTACATTTAAATCAATAGGCGGTCCAAGCTTTGCAACAGTTCTCTTTTCTTTTAGCAGTTTTAATACTGCATTGGCGCAGAAGATGTGGTGCACTGTTTGATGTGCAGTCTGATGTGCAAGTCCACTATCTTTTAACACCCAGACCTTTACTGTGGTTCAAGTGAGGCTACTCATTTAGCGCTATTGATTGACCACAATATGAAGGATGTAAGCGCACAATAGAGCAATCAAACTAGAATTGCCATCTGTTAACAGGCTACAATACTGCAGCCTATTGAAAGGCTTCTGGTGTTGCTGAGCAGATTTTGACTTTGTACTGAGCTGCGTATTGGAGGTCAGTGAGCAAACAGCCGGCAATCAGTCTTTGTCAAATATTTAGTTGAATAAATCCACACTGCTGTGGATTAGCCTAAAGACCCCAGCCGTCCCAACATACTGAACTTTGATATTTTGCCTCAGTGGAGAGTAGAGTGTCAACAGCAATGTACACATTCTGTACATTATGTCTCAACTCTATCTACCTTGTGCACACGCATGGCTTCATAACGTATGATAAAACCCAGAGGCATTTACTCAGATCTAACCATTAATTCTAGCAAGTTAGATTTAAAATAACCATAGCAATTTGTAAAGGAAGGAAATCTAGCTCTGTGCTCAGAATGTGTGGGAACATTGCTCTTACGGCTTGTCTGTACTGATCAGCAGATTGCTGACTAATGTAGACCAAGCGGAAAGACTAACTAATCTGGCTGTCACAGGTGGGCAGATCATTTGACTGCACTCTTACTCAGCTTTTCCTCTTTCAAAAAAGCTATCCCGTCATATGCTGAACCTGCCAAGGATGTTGTAAGCTGTGTTCCGTAAGCTAAGCTGGCTGTTGTGCCACCATAACAGAGTGTCTCACCGCATGTCCGCACGACTAATCCCTTTAAAAACACATTTTTTAAAAATGTTTAAAAATGCCCATCAGAGTGAATTTAAAACAGATTTAGCAGAAGCACAAGCTAGAACTGTAAAACCTTTGTGAAACCAATTAGAGTGGATCATCTCCAAACCTCTACAGTTTAGCCATATCTAAAACTGTAGATATGTACAGATACTTTCTGACAAGTATAATATGTTGTTAATACACCGGTATGTAGATTTTTGTCCCCCACTATCTGTTGCAGGTGGAGACCAAGGTGTCTTGAATGGCTTCTTCAGCACTTGGGCAACAGCTGACATATCAAAACACCTCCCCTTCATCTACAACCTCAGCAGCATAGCCATCTACACTTACCTTCCAGCATTCAAGCAGTAAGTGTCTGTCTACTAAGGAGGTAATTTTTCTGAAAAACATTCACACAGTAGTTGGAGTCATTTTGAACATCTCATTTTGGTGCGTTTCTACTGATAAATTACGACCGTATATACTTCCACAAGACAGTTGCATTATACTTCAGCAGAGAGACTGTCAATGTGACTAAAATCTTGCGTATCAGATGCAGAGCCAAGGAGTAAGCAGATACTGAATCACATGGACGTGTAGTCACATCGTGACATGACATCAGGTTACGAGCGAGATGAGAAGATTCCACCGGCTCTGCTGGAGCATCCCCCAGCAGGCCTCAGTGCTGGGTTGGATATCTACGGCTGAGCTCCCAACAGCTGAAACCAAATCCTAAAATAGAGCGGTTTATTTAAAGACCTTTTATGTTCACCTCTAGGACTGGTCATTGTGCACTTGGTCTTAAGCCCCCTCCCATCCTCACTGCCTCTCTGTGCGTAAAGCTCTTGCCTCATAGAAACAAACCTCATCAAGTTCTTAAGTTTGGTATTTCCTGGCATCCAGATCAGGATGACGGGGGATAAATATGTATTTACTTGTTGGTAGATGTCAGCAATAGTAGTACTTGAGGTCTGGCAAACACAACAAAACAACAACCCCCCCCCCCCCCCCCCCGGCCAGATTTTTATTGGTGTACAAATGTAGTTTTGGCATGGTTCACAATGCTCACTATTTAATATAATGTAGTCTAATACAAGCAGGCTAATACCGTAGCATTTTTTACCCTTGATTATATTTTCCAACATTCAGTTGTAAAAACGGAAAGGAAGGAAACCTAAATACTTCAATACAGCCTTTAAAGCAATATCATATAGTTAGATAATATGGTTGAAACGGCCACGTACTTTATTTAGAAGAACAGACAGTCTCACTGGAACTACTTAGCAACACCCAGCAGTTACCATAGCTTAGCACTTTAGCTTGATACTAAAAAAAGAGCTAAACAGTAGTTTTACATTTAGTATTAGCTCATAGATGTTTTCTGAACAAAAGTCACACATAATAAATAATTCATAAGAACTTGACTTACTAAATCTAACCTTAATAGATCTACAATTAGTGTTTTAATTCTCACTTACTTATGCATTTCAGATACGGTGGCAATGCTAAGGTGGTCCATTTCCTAGGGAAGACCAAGCCATGGAGTTACACTTTTGACCCCAGAGCTAAACAGATCGTTGGGAGTGTGCAGGAGGCCACCACACACCCCACCTTCCTCCTGGACTGGTGGACCCTGTACTCCAGCGCTGTGGTGCCCATGCTGCAGGAGCAATATGGAGACCAGCCTTTCCACTCTGGATGTGTGGAGGTGAATGTTTTGCTTTATTGGACAACCAGTCCTGCATTTACACTGCAAGCAACTTGGCACAACAGTCTATTCTAACAGATAAAAGGCAGTTACGTCAGTGCCTTAATATGTTTTCAAATTCATGGTCAAGTATCCGAGTCAGTGGGAACTCTGGGTTTCCAAAGTGTAAAGACATAACCAACATTTTACATACCGACCAAGGTTTCTTGGTTTTACAGCTCTATTAGAAATAAAGGCATTTGTCCATTGCCGTGCTTGCATTGTTAATGCATGGAAATATTGTATCTTTGGAAAAACATACTCTATCTATGTAAGCACATTTATTTGCTGCCACAAACAAGTTGCTTTTTTTCACCTTTTCTAATTTATTTTACTCCTACCTTTCTGCTTTTTATTTTATTTTGCTCTGAGTCAGGATGATATACCTTTCTGTCTTCCTATTCATCTCATAAAGTCCCAGTACAGTGACACGGTCACTTTTGAAAGTGAACAGGTATGGTGTTGAATTGGTATTGTGTTTTTCAATAACAGTTTGTTGGCCTCTAGTTTAATGCTATTACTGCTCTTCCTCTAAAATCAGAGCTGATTTAATGCTATTACTGCTCTTCCTCTAAAATCAAAGCTGGTTTAATGCCATTACTACTCTTCCTCTAAAATCCGAGCTTTCGCCTGTTTGCCTGTGGCCATTAATGTTGAAAGGCCACATGTAGCGTGTTCACTGCTTTTTAAAAGAGCAATGAGCGTTAAGGATGTTGTCTGTGCAGTCTGTGTCTCATCATTGATTTTGTTTTGTGTTTTCCTGCTTTTTGTTTCATTATTGTCTTTTTTTAATTTTTTTTTCATATTTTTGCTCAGGGTGCGATCCTCTCTTCACACGCACAAGCACTCGAACCCCAGATGTCCTCAGAAGAACGGAAGCAGAAATGGGAGCAAGGTCAGGCAGACTACATGGGAATGGACTCATTTGACAATATCAAGAAAAAGCTTGATACTTTTCTCAAATAAAGAAGTAATGAAGCGGGATATCAAAAGAGCACTTGCAGTTTAACAAATATCACCATGTCTCTCAAGAAAATACTGTAAAACAGGTTGCATTTTTCCTTCCTACCTGTTACTCAACTAGAGTTGAGTCCCTCCCTCCTCCAGCACTACCCCATCAGTACTCCAAAGACAACGCCGTTTAAATGGGAAATAAAAAGTAAAATGCTATGAACGGCTTTAATTGTCTATGCAAGACAAGTCATTTGGCATTCAGTTTACTCTGCCACAGGTGTCTGTTTTGCTACACTGTGAAAAAAGTCAGGAAATATTTTATAACATTAATTCCCTCTTCTTTTTTTCTTTTTTTTTTTGGAA